CAAGCTTTGCGACTGATTGTGTTCCTTAACTAGGGTTCTCTTGTTTCCCTTCCTTACTTTCTCCCTTCTCTTCAATGGCGACCGCAGGAACAATGCAGCAGAGCAGTGCATCAGGGAAACCGGGGCTCAGAAAGCCAGTGTTCATCAAAGTGGACCAGCTCAAGCCCGGCACCAATGGCCACACCTTGATTGTCAAGGTGATTTCTTCAGACATGGTCTTGCAGAAGGGTCGATCGGTGTCTCATCACCTCCGCCAGACCCGCATCGCTGAGTGCCTTGTTGGGGACCAGACGGGTACCATTGTTTTCACAGCGCGCAATGAACAAGGTACTGTACGGTTGGGATTCCTTTGCATTTGAGTTTATGTATTTGATTCATGTTCGGTCTATATATCGAAATTGTTTGTGTATGAGTTTTCTGCGGGCGTCTGTGAAATGTGTTTTGTTTGGTAATTGGTTGGCAGAGGAATGAGCGTAGACAGAGGGAAAGAGGATTATTGCAATTTGAGTGAACGAATGTTGGAAGAGGGTTTTAGTATTTTGGATATATATTGCTTACCGTTTTGATTTAGTTTTATTTAATTGGTGTTATGTGCTTTAATGATGAAGAAATGGAGTTGGAAGGGTAAACACTAGGAGTGGGATTGGATTAATTTTGCCTGGAATGTGGGAGAGTGGAGTGGCAGTTAGGTGTCTGTTTGAACTTTAAAGCCTTGATGGCTGTATGTGGGTTATACTGGTTTGATTAGAAAATGGAGGGAAAAATGAGAGTGAGGAAGGAAGTGTGGCATATGGGAATTGAGACTTTGGAGAAAATAGATGGTAGTGTGGTGGATTATGCAGTACCATAGCCTCTTTTTCTATGGTATCTTTTGGTCTCTGGGAAAATTAAAGCAAAGGGAAGTGTAGAATGGCCTTTCTTTTAGTGACTAATGTTATTAGTTTTAATAGATATGGTGTTTATGATTCCCCCGTCCCAAATGCAAAGATGTCTTGCTTGTAGTGGGGATGACTTTGATGAGAAGAAAGGTTCAAAGATACCAGGGGCTTGATCCCACTCTCAATCTTTGTTTATAGGAGATCCCGATCTGAACTCTTATGTTCTATAGTAAGTTTTCATGGAATTAATTTCAAATTCAATGATGAAACTTGGTTATGTTGGTGCACATTTATGTTTTCTTTTCATAGCTCATTATGTCTGCAGAAGAACTCAGTTATGAATTTCAAGTTGTATGCTTTATCTTTATGTAAATAGTTGATGTTGTAATCACTTTCTAATTTTAGAGCAAATCTGAGGAAATTTATTACTTAACACACGCTTGCAGAAAATAATATTTTCTTTTCCCTATTGCTGTCAGAGAAATGTCTGAAACTTAAGTGGAAGAGTAGATCCTTTTGAGAAATTTTTTTTTTTTTTTAATTTTGTTTTCTTCTTTGACTCTGATTTTATCAGAAGAAACATGTATTCTAGTAGAGTAGAATTGCTAGTTGTTACTTTTTAACTGCAATTATTGGTTGTGGTGGGTTTGTCTGTTAATAAGAATGGACAAATCAGGTTGGCATTATTTCTTGGCCTCCTAGAGAAGTATGTAAACATTATTAGAAGCAATGGAAGTGTTGTAGACTTGTGTTCAAGGTGTTTCTGAGGCAACTGCTTGGTCAATTGGTTCACCTTATCTTTTATATGGAGCAACAAGAAATGTAGACACTAATTGTATGGTCTTCTGTAGGTTTGTTATATTGGTCTATTTGCTGTTTGATTCTTATGCTTCTTCACCCAAAATTAAGAAGTAATAGATTAGAAAGTTAAATAGGCAAGAACTTCAAAATCTTATTCTCTTTTAGCAACATGGACCGTGTAATGCTGTAATGCAAAACTTCAACAATTATGCAATTCTATGAGCTAAATGTTATACATTTCTTACTTGGTGTAGCTTGTTACTTGGGTCATGAGTGGGAACTTAGTTTGCTTTAGGTGTTCTTTTCCTCTTAGTCAGGCCTTGGGTTCCTGGTATCTTATTTAGTTTTGATGGTCTTGTTGTGATTATGGAAAACTAGAGTTGTTGTACCTATTATATGGGTAAAAATAACCAAGTTTATTTCTTCTAATGTTTGGATAAGTATTTTTTATGAAGACTGTGGAAAGGAGGAAAACAACAAATTTGTAACTAGCTGTTATTTGGATAGTGGATATGGATAGAAGTTCCTCCGAAGCCCAAGATAGATGAAGTGCCCACTAAAAGTATATTAGAGAGTTGAGGAGACCTACTGAATTATTGACTTTATTTGTATTAATATAGATGCTAAACTGCATCTTGGATTGATAATTGCTTTCTGAACTCTGCTCTGTTATTCTAGGAGTACTTTCCGCTAATATGAAAACTTTGCTTTTATATATATATATTCATTGTCTTATGATTTGAGGTTATAACACATTTTACTTTAACAGAGCCTTCCCATTTCTTTGCTGTTATTAACAATATTGCTTTCTACTCAGTTGATTTGATGAAGCCTGGTACAACAGTTATTCTTCGCAATGCAAAAATCGACATGTTTAAAGGATCTATGAGGCTAGCTGTTGACAAATGGGGCCGTGTTGAGGCCACAGACCCTGCAAATTTCATAGTAAAGGAGGATAACAATCTCTCTCTAGTTGAATATGAGCTGGTGAACGTGGTTGAGGAATGACTGGGATTCTTACCTGCCTTATATAAGCTTTTAAAGTAAAAAAGAGCAGCTACAGCCTTTTCCGGAGTATCAATAGGTGGTTTCTTTATTTTAAGCATGGTATATGTAGACTGGGTGTAGAATCAGAACAACTGCTGTTCATGTCTTTCTTCTTGACTCCCTTGACGTAGGGTTTTTTAGGGTATCTGCAGGACAAACTTGGATCCTTGGCCATGGAGAAGTTGGAAAATGTAAAGACGTTGTTAATGATATAAGTTTCTAGTTTGAACTTCACCTTCTGTGATGGATTTGAATTTATGAAATATATATTCGATATTGGGTTTACCATGTTTCTACTTTCTAGAACAGATGAATATTATCAGAGCACATAATTGGTGGAGAGATGATCATAGTGATTAATTATATGAAACTTTAGTATTAAAATTGCATGGTGCATTCATGTTAATTATGTGTTGGGTGTCATGATATCTGTTAGCAACCCATTTCCAGTCTTATTCACACAAAGTGGAGGGTTAATCCTTATATTGCTTAATTAAGGATTAATCGTTTTTATAGCAAAAACATCTGCAAGGATTGTATGGAAACATGTGCCAATTAATGAGGAAAATCAACAATTTGATTAAGGAATAATGGGTCATTGCAAGCCATTAGGTTTCTTGAATCTTGAAGTCCCTTGCTTTTGCTTTTGTTAGTTTGCTTCTATCTCTCCTAGGTATTGCTCTTTGGATTCTTGGGGTTTCTCTTCCATTTTCATTTCCTCTGTTTATCATCAATTTAATGTCCTCCATTCCCACCTTTTTTTCTTAAAGATATTTTTTTTTTCTAGGTTTGGAATTAAAAGTTCAACATATTTATTTTCAAACATTTCAAAATTCTAATAATTTTTATGCTAATTTAATTTTTTTTGAAAATTAATAGGAGAAAAGTGAAAATTAAATCCAAAATTACTTTTAAAATTGTTCAAATAGTACTCTTAATGAATTCTTTTCATATATTTAAGTTTTTTTTATTATTATTTTAGACATTTTAATTAGGAAGAAGGAATAATTTTCTGCAATCCCAATTAATTAATATTATCAGGTCTCTTCTGAGTTGCTTGTGTCCTTGCTCCCGCGGATGCTATGCGACATTACCAAAGAAAGATGTTTTAGGCATAATTTTTTTATTAATTTTTTAATATAATTTTATATATTATTTAAATAATATATATTTATTTAATATTTATGACTTATTTAATAATATATGTGAAATTGTAAAAATTATATAAAAACATTATATATAAAAATTGTCTTTATATTATTATCTCATTAATAATTAATAAACATGATGGTAAGCCTCATCAAACTTTCCATACTGATAATTCTATGGTTTATTGATCTCATTTCTTGTTGATATTGATCTCGGTTTCTGTATTGTATGTACATATATATATACACACACAAATAGCATTAGCTTCTTCTTCAATTTTTTATTTAGAATCTGTATAT